GCAGGAATGTGCCTCCGCAGACGGCAGAGCCCTCACAGCCTTTCCCTCCACGCACAAGAGCCAGGAAAAGCAGGGCAGGAGCACCAGTGCCACACCAGGCCAGGCTCAGGCACGGCCTCAGCACCACCTGCATCTCCCCACCCCGCCACACCAGGCCCTCTGGTCCCGCGGAGACACGACACCCCTCACCGGTAGAAGTGCTCGAAGCTGTGGGCGAGCTCCAGGCCACTGAAGACGACGAAGGGCTCCAGGATCTGCTGCAGCTGCCGGGGCAGCTCCGCACTGCCCGCAGCCCCGTGGAGCTCCTGGACCTGCCTGTCAAGGTAGCGGGCAAACTGCTCACTCACCTGCAGAGGGACAGGGCTGGCTTTGGAGGGTGCTCGCCAGGTGCCTGCAGGGCAGACGTCCCTGGGGGGAGCAGCTGGGAAACCCTGGGGCTCTCGGGCAGTGGCCGAGGCTCCGGGGGCCGAGACGGACATGCAGCCGGGCTGGGGCTGTGCCCTGAGAAGCGCCGCGCACCCGCAGCTGGGCACCACCCAGGGTGCAGGGTTCCACGTCTCGGTGGGGGCCAGGACACCACCCACCCAGAGCTCGCTGGAAGTTGTGGGCCAGGACAATCTCCCGGGCTGTCGGGGCCCCTGCACTGATGGCCCCACGCTCCCCTGACTCACGTGCAGGCTGGTAAGGAAGGAGAGCTGCAGCAAAGCCCCCGCGAAGCCCTGGCCCAGGGCCAGCAGGAAGGCAGCCTGCTGCCCAAAGAGCTGCTCCGTGGCACCGCGCAGGCGCTGGTACAGCGTGCAGTACCGCTCCACAAGGTCCGGCGCCCGCCCTGCCGCTTCCAGGAACCGCTGCACCTGCAGGACCCAGAACCAGAGGGGTGAGCCCCATGCTGGGATGTGCCAGCAGCTTCTGTGAACTTCCACAGCTCCAGTCTCGCTCTGCCAAGACCAACTGCCCAGTCCCAGCCAGGGGCTACCTGGAGGCCCTGGTGCTGCCACAGGCTCCCAGCAGCTTGGGAGAGGTGGGGGCTCAGCCTCGAGCGCTGGGCGGGGGCTGCACGGGCAGGACAGAAGCGCAGCAGTGGGAAAGAAGGAGCCTGACACTCTGCCTGCTTCCCAGCCTGCAGCACCAGCCTGGCTGCAGGACCAGGCCCACAGCTGAGCCCTGCCAAGGGGGAAAGTGTGGCAGGGCTGTCCACACATCCCTCCAGGCCTCACAGAGACCAGGTACAACCCCGCACCCCTCCCGTGCTCCCAGGACACTGCCAGGCATGCCCGCTGGGAGTGGGGTCCAACCACCCTCTCTGGCCCCCAGGGCTGGCCTTCCAAGCCCTACCTGCTGCTGCACCACACCACGCCAGCACTGCGAGATGCTCCACAGGCTGCTCGACTTCTCCACCACCGCCTTCGCAGCCCTGGCTGGCACCTCCTTGTTCTTCCCCTCCTTCTGGCCTGCCAAGGGACAAGCCCAGGCTCAGCATGGCTCTACGGGCAGGCCCTGCACACTGAGCACCAGCAGCCTCCCCCCTCTCTGGGGGCCACTGGGAGAGCACGGCCACGAGCCTTCCCCAGCTCATGAGCCTCCTGTGTCACGGGCCCTCTCCAGAACTCCCCACGGCCACAGCCTGGCACTCTGAACCACTGCCCTCCCAGCCCCACAGGAGGGCAGCCCCTCGCTCACCAGCTACTCTGGCCTCCTCTGGCTCTGGGCCACCGGGGTCCACGTGCACCAGGAGCTGGGTCAGGCGCCGCACACGGGAACCAAAGGCAGCGCTGCGGCTCGTGGCACGGCAGGGGGGCTCCACGCCCTCCAGGTACTCGCTCAACAGCCAGGCCAGGGGGCTGACGCCACGGGGGTCTGCGAGGCCAAACAGACTCAGGGTGGGATGCCTCAGCCTGGGGCACAGCCTGGTTGGGCCCCGGAGGGCGAAGGGTACCTGGGCTGGTGATACTCTGCACCAAGGGGTTCACCAGGGCCTCCCAGCAGGTCCTGCCCAATGCCTGGGCCACCTCGGCGTCAGGAAGGAAGCGATCGGCAAAGTCCTGCTCGTGCCGCAGCGCACGGTTCAGCCTGCATCAGCAACCAGGGAGCACAGGGTGCTGCTGGGCACCTGCTGGTGGTGGGGAGGACTCCCCCAGGGGAGCAGAGCGTGGCAGCTGCTCCCTGCCCGGCCCCTCACCAGGCACAGCAGCCCAGGCAGGACACCTAGCTGCTCCTCTCCTGGCCCTTGCAGGCTGCCAGCACCGTCCTCCCAGGCCCTGGGACACCAGGGACACGATGGTGCAGCCAGGGAACAACTCACCTGCCAAAGAGCTGCAGCAGTTGGCTACGGTCCTGGCAGATCTCCTGGCACCAGGCATGAGCCCGGGCAGTGCAGGACAGGTATGTCCGCCAGCACAGCTGCTCCTTGAAGATGGGCCAGAAAGTGGGCTTGGGACCCAGCACCTCGATGCCACGCACGCGTGTGTCAATGCCTCCCTGTGGGACAGCGTGACCCTCAGCTCCTCAGGCATGGCCCTGACACCCCACACTGCCAGCTCCCTGGCCTGGCCCCCTCCTCCCTTACCTGCTGGCAACGCTTCACCTGGATCTGGATGACAGGCCAGAAGCGGGTCATGTTCTCCAGCAGGATCACTTTGCTGTCTGAGGGCAGGACGGTCACCTACAGCCAGACAGTGAGTCCTCAGCACACCAAGCAGAACCTCCAACCAACCCCCATGCTCTGCTGGACACCCCCACTAGTGCTATGGCCTCTGTCCCTCCCAGCAGCTCCTATGCAGCCACAAGGCACCTCCCACCAGGACCCCACGTCTGGCTCACAACCCCAGTGCACCAGCCAGCTGCAGACTGGGCTGCAGGGCTGCCCATGCTCAAGCCTCCCCAACAGCCAGGAGGAGACTCCTGCAGCACAGCTCCTGCCATCCCCACCTCCCTGTGGGGCACCTCCCAGGTGAGACCAGGGTGAGACCTTCTCAGGCCAAAGCAAGCACCAGCCCACCACTCCCGTGGGGCCTGCACAGCCCACGTGAGACTCACCATGTTGAGCTCAGTCCTGATGGAGGCAGGACTGTCTCCCCCCAGCACCACAACACGGGCTGGCATGTAGCTGGAGTCCTCGCTGGCCACCAGCATGCTCATCTCCCTGCAGCACAACAGACACGGTGCTGCCCAGCAGTCCCCACCTCCCTGCCCTGGCCCCTGCCAGCCCCACGCACTGCTGCCCACATCCAACAACCTCCAGGATGAGGACCAGCGGGACAGGGCTCGTGCAGATTCCCAAAGTCCTCTGCTCCCTGCGCAGCCACCGCCCCCCCTGGCCCAAAGGCCCCCCAGGGCCCCCGGCCCAGCCCCACCTGACCACCACACCATGCTGCATGTGGACAGTGATGAAATGGGAGCCGGTGCTGCCATTTGATTCCCAGTATGTCTTGGGGTTCCTGTCTGTGAGCCTGCTGGCCCGGTGGGGGTTGGAGGAGACCTGCACCTTCTCCCAACACTTGTTCTCCTTCACCTCCACGCTGGAGCCTGTGGGGAGAGCACGTGGCTTCCAGCCACTCGGCCAGCACGTGCCAGGCACGGGGCTCCAGCTCCTGCTTCCCTGCACTCACCTCGGCAAAGGTTGCGCAGAAAGACACCAAAGAAGGGGATGCTGATGGGCTGCTGGTTCCGGCGGTGCTCCTCAATCTGCCCCAGGACCAGCTATGGGATGGGCCAGGCTCTTACCAGGGGCCCTGGGGCCTCCTCCCCTCACCCACCACAGGGCTGTGGCAGGCAGAGAGCAGAAGGCTGCCCCTTGGGTGCCAGGGACGGCTGGACGGCCCCAGTACCCTGAGCCCCAGCGCAGCCAGGTCTGCCCAGGCCCACCTGGATGCAGCCAGCCAAGATGCTGGTCATCAGCTTCTTGTAGAGGCTGACATACTTCTCGCAGTCAACCACCAGGTCAAGCAGGGCTGGTGCCAGCAGCGGGGCCGTGCTGTGCTTGTCCAGAGCTTTGGACAGAGCCTCGCGGGTACCCACGTGGCACATCACCACTGCACAGTCCTTGCTGGCGGTGGCCAGGCGGTGGAGGAAGCCAACGACCTCTTGCACCACCTGCAGAGCAGGCAGCCAGGAGCTGCCAGGCCCAGCAGCCCGGCGCGCTCCAGCCCCTCCTCCCCAACGCTGCAGCAGGGCCCCAGAGCCTGGCCAGGTGCTGGGCACGCCAGGTCACCACAGGGCCAGGCTGCTGCACGTGGGGCCCTCACTTCACCAACACCAGGCTTGGCTGATGCACAGCACAGCCTGCAGAGCTGCCCCTGCCTGCCAGCAGTCCCGGGGCCTCCTCACCTCCAGGTCGCTGCTGTGGGCAGTCAGAGAGGACAAACAGGGCTCCACGGACTCGTTCCAAGGGAGCACATCCTCCTGGTAAGCGTCCAGGAACTTGTTCAGGATCCTGAGTGACAAAGGGGGCCCGCTCAGGCTGGGATGCACAGAGGGCAGTGCCACAGGCAGCCCGGTGCTTCTGTGCCCCACCTGGAAGGCCAGGGACTGGGAGCCAAGGCTTCCCAGGCACCCTGGACACCCCATCAGCACCCAGGCACGCACTGCTCTGTCCCCACAGGGCCATATGTCCCCACAGGACACCCCAGTTGGCCCCCACATATGCACAGGGGTGCATCTGCCCTGGTGAAGAGGAACAGCCCCACCAGGTCACACAAACATGCTCCGTGTCCCCCCAGCATCACCACCAGCATTCACACAGGTGCTGCAGAGGCCCCGGACCCCCTCCAAACCCCCCATGGCCCACCTGAGGATGCTGAGGCTCACGGCCTTCTCCGCCCCCAGCAACTCCAAGCTCTGCAGCAACAGCCTGAAGCACCTCTGGTCCTGCAGCAGCTGGGCCGCCTTGACAGAGGGGACCCCCGGGGCCTCGCCGCCGGGCTGC